AAAAAGAAAACAGTTGATAAAGCAATGTAAATTTATAGAAAAGATTATCGAGAGAGTTCGCCCTCCTGGTTAATTTTGCCACGCAATGCGCATTGTCATTTATATTTGTTTTAATTATTGTTCTCTACAACTGTAACCAGTTTATGAGAATAAAGTCATTGTCATTGTTGTAAGAAACCTTTATATTGGAGGTCCCGTTTCACTGTTTGCTTTGACACAATAATGAACCCTCACTGCTCAATGACTGTAAATGCCGAGTATAGGACTAAATTTGAAGCCCTTCACCGGCAATACAATGGCGCCTCTATATTGAGTGATAAATTCGGGAATAGAACGTTAAACAACATTAAATTAATCAAGCAACCAAGCAATCTTTTGTTGCTAGGAGAAAACCTTTATAATCTAAATTTAATTCAAAGTAACAAACTCATTAATCCATTATAAATAAAAAATAATGTTAATATAGATCAATGGGTAATCCAGAATCGAGATGTTTGACTGTATACATTATGTATTATACTATATTCGAATGTTTTGAATAAATTGAATTAATCATTTAACATGATTGTTTATGCATTTAGTGAAAGTTTTTGAATATTTTGAATGTCACCGTAAGGACATTTTCTGAACCTTGCCTGTGCGGTTATTATAACAAATCAATTTCTAATGCTTTGTCAGCAGTACTGTAAACGAACTTAATGTGTTTAGTGTAAAAAAAATGTTGTAAGTGTTCCTCAATACCTAGTTTAATCTTGGAATTGAAAAAAAATTGTTTATGCATTCAGTTTTTTTTTTTTTTTTTTCATTTTTTTTTTATATCACTGGAAATGCATTATCTGAACCTAAGCTGTGCGGCCATGATAACGAATCAATTTTAGTTTTTGTCAACGATGACATTCGATGACAGTGATGTAAAATTTTGAAATAATATGTGAATATACAAATAATGGTTCCATTTAATATAAAAAAAATGTGCATGTATGAATTGAATATATATTGAAAATATAACAATCTGAAATCCATAGTAAAAATACTTTGATTTGCATAAATTAAAAAAAAGTTTGATATTATAGTAACCTATAGTTAACGATAGTAAAATATAGACACTATAGTTAACTATGCTAAATTTTTTTGTTAGGGTTGTCAGAAAATTTCACTGAAACATTGTACTATAGATTAAACACAAAATGCTAACCACTTTTATTTTAAGGAATGTTAGTCCTAACAAGCCCTGCAAGTAAACTTTGAACTCATGATCAAGAATGTTCTTCTGATGCCATCGTCATTGATCTGTGTAAAGAGTTAAAGAATATATCGATAACAGATACATCATAACATGTCAAAAAGTTATGCTTTGCTTTCTCTAACTATATATTTTTTTTATTTCATAATTTGATAATAACATTGTTTTGAAAACTGAGCAGTGATAATAGAATGCATTCGTTTGTTCTAGTATATATGGATTGGAAGACAGAGGTAATAAAGTATATGAACTATTTCGTCCTTCTTAACAAAGATAAATCTTTATCAGTCGAGGATATGAGTCCAAGAAGGTTCATTAAAGAAGTAATTGGAACGCATTGCAGTGGTTTGCCAACCGATTTAAGGGGATTTAAGGAAAAATGTTTGCACAATGAAAGCGTTTACTGTGTTGGGAACAAAGTTGGATTTAGATCTCCGTGGGAAGAGTTTGAAACAATGTGTGTTTTCATACAGGATCAATCATGTCATGATGATATTTTTGATGGTATACGAGTAGTTTTGGAGCATGCCTCTCAGGACACGGTTGCCCGATATTTTAGAACAAGTGGATACAAACCTAGATTAGACGAAGAATGCATAGTTATTCCTCCTTCTCTGAATGATTCTTTTATAAAGAAATTGGACATATACATAATTGTACATGAAACATTAGAGGACGTTTCAATTCATCAAAGAGTAAGCGAGAAAGGTTGGTATATTTTTTTAGGAAAAAACTAAACTGTTTAAGTATCTTTTATTAGTACTTTAAATCTAGGTATGAGATAGACATACATGTACAGTCATAGTATTGACATCTTTATGAAGAATACATTTGATCATTAATCACTCACTGAACAATATATTCATGACATTAGATTAAACATATACAGTACTAGTGTAAAATAAATATATTTAATCATATTTCCAAGTAAAATTAATTACGGTCATCAATTTTAATTTTTAAAGAATTTAACAAATAACAATTGTTTCCGATTGCAATGTTACATGCATGTTTTTGTTATTATTAGGAATCAGAAAAAAAAAACTATTCAAATTACAATTTACGGTTATTCTGAATTTTGCTTTAGTTCGAATTCCTGAGGAAATTCTTAAGTGGGAAAGGAAACCTCGACAGCGATTTTTAGAACATATTTTGGAAGGAACAAAAGAAGTTTTTAGGGCTCGTTGTATGATTGTCGGGTACTCATCTGCTGGTAAAACAACCTTGTTAAAACGGCTCAAACAGGAAGATATTGAAAATGTACAATCCACAATAGGAGTTGATATTTACAATGAAATTTTTCACGTCAACACATCAAAGAACACAATCGGTTTGTGTAGCATAAGCTAATTTCTTTTTTGTCATTGGCATTAATTACTAAGGTAGGAATGTTCAAAGTCTTCAGAAGTATTTGCAACCTTCCCTTTTTTTTCGAAAATGAAAAGAAACTCTTGTTGACTATTTCAGCCTTTTCCAAATTCATGTACAATGTACAGCAATGTAGTAATATGCTAAAGAAATCAATGTACCGAGTGAGTGGTTTGTCTTAGAAAACAAACTGCGATGTAGTGTTCACTCTCATTTAAAAGTAAAACCACCGATTAAAGTAAAGTCGTAAGATATCCTGTGGCGGTACATATTGTCGTTTTATACATATTGTCGTCGGCGACAATAAACACCTTCATTAACTGCACATATTGTCGTTCATTGGTACATATTGTCTCCGGTGACAGTTTGTGCCGAGAGGAGCATATTTTTTCTTCCTACATAATGGACGACAAAATGTACAGTAATGCATCGTCACATATTGTCGTCGGTGACGATATGTACTTTGAACGTGCACGTTTTGTCACCAGTAGATTGTTTAAACGAATTTTTACCAGGATCATGAAGAAAGAGAAAATGACAAACACACAAACACGGAAGTAGACAGACAGACAGCATTACCCACAAAACTGTAGAGAGAGAACACACACACACACACACACACACACACACACACACACACACACACACATATATATATATATATATATATATATATATATATATATATATATATATATATATATATATATATACATGTATATATTTCTCGAAAACACTAGAAAAAGAACAACGCTGTATATCCATGTGTCGGATCTATTATAAAGATACAAGGTCAAGAACTGGATTTTATATAAAGTATTAAATATGACTAAAGACACGAACAACTACAAATTGTCATATTTTCGGGAAGCCTTCCTCAGAACAAAGAAAAAAGTTATGAAGTCATAGTAGCAAAGGGCATAAAGAAACATAAAAAAACAATTAGCACAACTAAACTACATCCAGAACTTTTCTTTGCTTTTTCTCTTAGCGCCTGTCCATCTTAGGTTATTGCCAAAAACCACTACTGTCATGCCCTTCGAGGTTGAAATTTCCCCACCTGGTTCATTGATTTTCTTGGTCTTAATGGTCGAGCAATGATTATTGATTCTTCCGTGGTGATCTCCCGTTTCTCCAACACACTGCTTTTTACATACATTGCAACTGATGAGATATAGGCAGTTATCTGTTTGACAGGACAAGTTCCCTAATATTCTGTAGCTGCAGCCTCTTACCGGACTGTTTAATCCGTCTGTGTCAGAGCAATGCTCTCAGAGAAGACATCTTCTGACAAAAGTGGTTTTAAAACCCCCGTTCTGGGTTGTCCAATCTGGTTCTAATTTTCATATCCTTCAAGTCCCTTGGGCGCCTATAGGCAGCAAATGGAGGTTTCTTAAGGGCCTCAGCCATTCTTTTGTTGGAATAAAGAATTGAGAGATTCTTTTTAATAATATCGTTGAGTTTCGTAAGGACTGGATGGTATGTGGTTACCAGAGGAACCCTGCTGCTGCTGTTATTTTTCTCTTTATATTGTAAAAGGTTATGTCTGTCGTGTCCTGCCATCTCAATAATTTTTACAGTATGGGCTTTGTAGCATCTCTTGCATAAATGGGACTTTAGGAGATTGCTCTCTTCCTGGTACAGAAGATGAACAGATGTGGTGGATTCTGGTGGCTAAACCCTTAGGCACGCCTTTGAATGAGTGTGGAGGATGACAGCTTTTCGATATGAGATACAAGTGGGAATCACTGGGTTTCGTGTGTAGACTGAACTCAAATTTGCCATCAATCAGGGTACATGTAGACGAAGTATCCAAAAATACGTTTTCGGAATTGGATATTTCTACAGTAAATTTAATCGAATGATGGGAGGAGTTAGCAAAGGAAACGAATTCCCCGAGTCTGTTGCAGCATTCCACCCACTTTATCTCTCTATCGTCAATACAACGCAAAAGTTGCATTCAAGTCTGCCTATGAAGATATTGGTATATGATTGGGCCATTTTAGTGCCCAGAGCTGTGCCATTAACCTGCAGATAATGTTCTCCATTAAACATGAAATTGTTATACCTGAGAACATGTTCAAGAAGCTTTAAGAGGGGCTCGGTAGAAGGAATCTGTATAGATCTTCTGTCCCAGACTTCTTTACAAATGTACGACTGAAAGGCTCCACAGCATACTGTAAAAAAAAAAACAGTATAACGATTTCATATTTAATGGAGAACATTACCTGCAAGTCAATGCCTCAGCTATGGGCGCTAAAATAGCCCAATTATATGTCAATATCTTCATGGGCAGACTTGAATGCAACTTGCGACAATATGAACAAGGCGACAAAATGTACCGTCACATACCCTCAAACCCTAAAGACAGGTAAGGGATTCCAAAGTAACTTACTCCACATTCCTTTTTTTCTAGAAATTATGGGAGAGAATGATTATGACAATGTTGAAATCAAAACTCTAAGCATGGCTGATTTTGCTGGACAATGTGTCTATTACGCATTTCATCAAGTTTATCTCCGTCGAAGGGCATTTTATATTTTGGTTACTGACATGACAAAAGATCTGGAAATGAAAGTTGGTAGCGTACAGTGTCAGCAAGATGGAACAATGTTTTCCGATTGGACATACAAAGGTATGCTGTTTTTTACATTTTTAACTTGAAAAGTAGGTTTTATGAATGCCATTCACATGTCCCAAAGTACGATTGTTCTTGCCTTCATGTGTTTTGGAGTTCGTCCTGTCAATTAGTGATTTATTGAGGCGGCAAATCAATTCTTTTTTGTGTAGTGAGATTATAATGTCGATAAGAAGTCCATGATTTCAAAGCTTTCATCTATCATGCACTTTATATATACATTTCTATGCCACTTCAATGATTTTTAAATTCAATACTCAAATACACATTCTTCAGCAGGTGGTTTTCAACCTTATGATTCATGGTTACCTGCTAAAAATATTCAATTCTGAAAGAAATGCTCTTCTTTAACACTCAAAAGCTGAAAATTTCAGGATGAAATACATCCACAAGATACAAATTCAAGAAGGTGAAGTGACTAAACTCGACAGACACAATCAAATGTTTTTTTTATAATTAATAACTATTATATTCTTTTAAAAGTTCATTTTACAGATATCTCTTGGTTAATACAGTTTTGCTAATTCTATAGTACTATAGTTGACTATCAAATGACTAGTAAGTTTGCAAAGAAAATCTAAATTCTAATTAAATAATTTACATTTACAGTTTCTTTAGATGAACTTACTGAAAAGCTATAACGTTCTATCTGTATGAACTTATAAGGATGTCAGAGGTGATAACTTGAGCGAATCACACTGTGCGATGATAAATACATCTTAAAATTCCTTCATATTTCTGTCACGATAGCACGGTCTTTTGAACTCTTGACAGCGATGGCTGAGGTATTTTTTTTCTATCTACACATGCCCGTTAAATATTTCTTTGTTGTGAAGAATGGGCTGAAAAACAATGAAATATTTTCTTTGTTTATTAACGTTAAGCGGGTTACAATATTTATTTTTCTTCTGCAATGACTGCAACTGTTTGTTCCTCTACTAAATAAGAATTCCTTGAAGGTTTGTAAACTGAAACAATCGTTTTTGCGATGAATTACAGTCAGATATAAAGGATTCATAAAATTGTAGGAATATCCTTATAACTGGTCATTGCGCTGTCATAATTAACATAGATTTCCAGAATTTGATTGGTAATATCAATGTTTGAGCTATGCCAACTTTCATGATCTCGCTGATAGCATCGTGTCATGGCGTGTCACAGCAGAGTGATACGACAGGTGTAATTCGCCTAATATTTCTATTGCAATTTCTCTCAAATGTAAATGTAAGTGAAATAAATTACCTGTAACAATTTATTACATTTAGAAAATATTCTCCCCTTTATTAGCCAACCTTATATATATATATATATATATATATATATATATATATATATATATATATATATATATATATATATATATATATATATATATATATATATACTGTATATATATGGATACCTGATATGGCGGTGCTCTGTTTGACACAAATGAGAACGCACGGTTGGAATTTGAATGGTCATTTATTATTAAATAAATGACGAAGCAACCAAAATATGTGAACAAATAGTAGAACTGACAATACAAAACAAAATTGAACATATTAGGTAATAGAAACAAACACATATAGCAAAAACCATCATAAAATCTTAAGTTCACAATATCATGCAATGAGGTACGCAAAATTGTACAAAAAACAGAATGCGTATTTCAGACCTAAACAGTGTCAACGATGGGGCAACATCCGCCCGATATCAGACTACGCATGCTACAAAAATACACTGTAAACAAAATACGTATTTCAAATCTAACAAGAAAAAAATGCAAAAAATGGGACAACAATCGCCCTAAAAAGTCAGAATAAAAGACGTTAATTAACACATGGAGGTGGGGTGGGAGGCGTCATCAGAAAATTGTAAAAGTGTTTACCGCAAAAATAAATATGGAGACTGACGTTTATATATATATTAGGGATGGCAATTTTTAACCGGTTAACCAATTAATCGGTCAGAACGATGGTAATCGGTTAGGAAATCTGCAATCGGTTAGTCGGAAAAAAAATTAAAATTTGTGAAAATTTGATTGAAATTCAATTTGCAATTTAAAAAAGCTATGAATGTGGGAAAGTCATAACGTATTCACTAAAAAAAAAGGAATTAGGTGTTTGGGTAATTGGTCAATTGGTGAAGTGTAAATTGCTGTTTAAATATCCTGTCATTACCCAGCCTGTCCTGTATTTCTTTAATGATATTAATTAAGTCACCGTGGAGCATTGTAAACTGATTACATTTTGTATCTTTTGATGTTATTTCTGCCAAATTATATTTTTGTACAAACATAATAAATTCAATGATACTTCAGACTTTGTTTCTGTTTGTGATGACAAAGCAAAATAAACTTGTGTAACATCCGGTCGCAAAAAAAATATCAATATCCAAAATATTCGTAAATGCATGTATCTCATGGATGTTTTATTGTTTTCCTTTCGAAATTGAATAAAAAATGCAAAGTGTATAGATCAAACTTAAACAAAACGTTACTAATGTCGTTTTGTATTTCTGTTATTCATGTATTAATTTTTATTTGGGGGTGAGGGTTTGAAAAAAAAACTAACTTTAAAAAGAATTCCAGATGTGAAATTTGTTACGATTAACCGGTTAATCGGTCGGAACGTCTTGCGGTTAACCGATTAGCAATTCTGTATTCGATTGCCATCCCTAATATATATATATATATATATATATATATATATATATATATATATATATATATATATATATATATATATATATATATATATATATATATATATATATATATATACATTTCTTTGGACTTAAGTTTATATTATGGCATCGTTACCGATACCTATTGTAATGAAATTAATTTTTATTTATAAAGCACATTTTACTACAACTCTTAAACTAACATAACTGCCCCAAGTGAAGAAATATTCTACACTACACTGTCATTGAAATGGTACTTCAAATGAGCTTGTGTGTTTTAGAATTCTGGGTTTGTAATTCTGGGAGGTTGACGGTACCCTGACATTGGTTTGAAGGTGGCAGGGGACAGTTTTTTTTTTTATGTCAAACATGTGCCGAGGGGGTAGTTATATACATGATGTCAATGAAAACAGCTAAGTTGGGACAGTTTCTTTCTAGGCTTATTAATTGAATGTCATTTACCAATCGCTTAAAAAAATATCAATATATAACATGTTATCTATATATTTAAGTGCATGTGTACCAAAAATGCACTCCCCCCCCCTCGATTTGGGCTTAATTTTTCAAGAATTTGGTCTAACCCGCACCCGTAAAACCTCAAACCCAAGGTCAAGGAGGATAAAACACCCAACATCCTGTAGATCAGTGCATGCCCTAATAAGAATTCACCATGCCAAGAAAAGGTACGCATTCTAGTTTTAGAGCGAACTCAATAAAAGCGGGATTAGCGTTAATCTGTGATTTTTCCCCAGGGAGATGTGTGCGAGGCAATTAATGTCGGCAGTTTTGAGGGAAGGATCTTAAGTTTTACTGGTTTGAAATTAAACCTAGAATACTTACTATTCAGAAGCCTTTGCACCTTTTTTCCTGTTGTTTTTTTTTTAAAGGGGGGGGGGGGGATTTTCCATGCAAATCATATGCGGTTAAAAAAGTAAAAAAAAAAGAAGAAAAAGAAAGTGAAATAAAATGTAGTGAACTAATTAATTGTTCAGTAAAAATTAGACGCCTTTCAAATTTTTCAGTGTTTATATATCAAAATATTTTTTTCCTAGTATAAATTAACATCGGGCACGATGAACTTGGTTGTTGTGGAAGTCTCGCGCCTTATTAAGGTATCATAGCGGTAATTGACCAATGAAAATGAACTTAGTCAATTGTAGTTCCATACATATAAAATTATTATTTTTTCCTTTAGAATTTTTTTTTTAATTTCCTTCCAGTCTATTTTTACAATTTTGGTACCTGTGTCTAGTGCATTTTACATATTTTGTAAATAAATAAAGGTTTTTGACAGGAACTATTTTTTCAGGGCATAGGAGGCTATTTCCTGGGGTAGAAGTTTATTTTTCTTTGACTAAGAAAACGGGAAACTTAGGATCCACCCCCTCAAATCTGCTGCCGTTAATTGTCTCGCCAGCGTTAGGGGAATATGGGTGATTTGCATCAATTACACTTTTATTGACTCCATCGCTGTGGAAAAATGGACGGGATTTCTTGGCATGGTCAGAAAAATTGTGTAGATACATGTATAAGATCATTGGCCTTGCTCTTTTAAGGAGCGTTTTTTTTTCCCTAAATTTTTAAATAATTTGTGCATAAATAATTTTAGAGAGTGTTACTTTTGTCTATTGATTATGGTGTTCTGCAGGTTTCATGCATTTCACTCGACCCAGTAAATCAACATTAAGTCATTTTTTGTCTAAATATAATTATTATTTCAAATGAATTTGATGCATTGGAAATGAAATTCAAACAAACAGAAACACGGAAAAGGGGAGGGGGTGTCTTTTACCATACCAAGAAAAGGTACACATTCTAGTTTTAGAGCGAACTCAATAAAAGCGGAATTAGCGTTAATCTGTGATTTTTCCCCAGGGAGATGTGTGCGAGGCAATTAATGTCAGCAGTTTTGAGGGAAGGATCTTAAGTTTTACTGGTTTGAAATTAAACCTAGAATACTTACTATTCAGAAGCCTTTGCACCTTTTTTCCTGTTGTTTTTTTTTTTTTTTTTAAAGGGGGGGGGGGGATTTTCCATGCAAATCATATGCGGTTAAAAAAGTAAAAAAAAAAAAGAAGAAAAAGAAAGTGAAATAAAATGTAGTGAACTAATTAATTGTTCAGTAAAAATTAGACGCCTTTCAAATTTTTCAGTGTTTATATATCAAAATATTTTTTTCCTAGTATAAATTAATATCGGGCACGATGAACTTGGTTGTTGTGGAAGTCTCGTGCCTTATTAAGGTATCATAGCGGTAATTGACCAATGAAAATGAACTTAGTCAATTGTAGTTCCATACATATAAAATTATTATTTTTTCCTTTAGAATT